GCACGAAGTGAGTCCGACTCCGGGTCAGCAAGAGCAAGAAGAGAGGACTCAGGAGGAGAAGGCAAAGGGGCACGCAGAGGAGCAGTGGACGGACGGAGAGACATCCGGTGCGTACCGGGCACAGGGGGAGGACGCTGACGCGAACCACGACCACTAGCGCGAGTAGCACGGACAGGCGATGCAGGACGAGACGCAGGCTCACGACGCTCAGCAAGACCTCCAATAGGACCATGGTAGGGAGAAGGGGCAGGCAGTGGGGAGGCGAGCTGTAACTGTAACTGCGACGGGACAGGCTGTGGACACTCTAAGGGAGGAGGAGGACCAGTAGAAGGCGGGAGACCAAGAACCTGCTCAATGAACGGAACGAAGTACGGCCAAGGCTGTGCAGCGACTCCTGAAACAGCAGGGACAGCACCAGTACCCCCAGTGGTAGCACCAGCGCCAGCAGCACCTCCAGCTCCAGCAGCGCCAACTCCAGCACCCTCAAAAGCACCAGTGCCAGGAGGACCTCTAGCACCAGTACCCCCAGCAACTCCAGCAGCTCCAAGATCTCCAGTAGCACCAACAGCACCTCCAGCAGGACCACCTCTAGTAGCGCCAGCAGTACCCTCAGCGCCAACACCATCAGTAGCTCCAGCTCCAGCCGGACCACCACAAGACGCAGCAGCTCCAGCTCCAGCACCAGAAGTACCCGCAGGCCCAGCAGCTCCAGTACTCCCAGTACGAGCACCTCCGGGACCCGTGGTACCAGCACCCCCAGTAGCAGTAGAACCTCCAGCTCCAGCAGCATGCCTCCAGCGCCACGCAAACCACTCACGCACCTCCTGTGGAGAGAGTAGCTCCCGCCGAGGCGAAGCACTCGAAGGACCTCCAGGCCCAGCACAACCAGATGCCACACGAGAAGGCCCACTACCCTCAGACACCGCACTCTCAGACGCAGCACCCCCAGGCGCAGTACCCCCAAGCTCAGCACCCCCAGGCGTAGTACCCCAAGGCTCAGCACCCCCAGGCTCAGCACCCCCAAGCTCAGCACCCCTAGGTACAGCACCCGCAGGCTCAGCACCCCTAGTAGCACCAGAATCACCAGCTACCTTGGCAGGCTCGACTGCGTCGACGTGGGACACACCTGAAAGGGCAAGACCCTGAGGAGGGAGGGGGTCTACCGGGGGGGGACCTGGCGCAAGGAAGAGCGGTGGTAGAGGGAGGGACGCAGTGCGGTAGGGGGAGAGACGGTAGTAGGGAACCGACTCGTCAAACGTGACGTCCTGAGAGGACAGAACACGGCGCGAGGTGAGGTGGTAAAACTGCCAACCTGGCGCGTCAGGGGGGAAGCCAAGGAAGACGCAGGGAACAGCACGGGGGGACAGCTTGTCCGCAGACAAGTCGCGGACAAACGCCCGAGATCCCCATACACGGAACGCAGACGCATCGCCAACCTTCCCCGTCCATAGCAAGGCTGGGGAGGTCTCCGGCCTGGAGACCCGTGTCAACGGGAGTTGGGTATTGGCCCCGTCCTCGCTTGGGCGGAGCAGACTTTGTGGTCGAGTGCGAGGGGAGCAGCCGACCTGCAGCAGTGGATGAGCTGGTCGACGAGGAGGTCGACCTGCACGGGGGCCCACTGCACGACTCTCCGCCTCTGGAGACGAGGCAGGGAGGGATGACCAAGGCGGTGGTGCCAGAGGTGAGTCTGGTGAGACAGGAGACGACACGAGCAGGGGGCAGACTCAGGACCAGACCTGGACGCTGCAGCAGAAACTTGACTCGACGCAGTGACCTGACCAGACTCAGCAACCGAGGGAGACTCAGTAGTTAGTGTGTACAGGCTCGACCCCGGCCGACGGGTAAACATGGCCAAGTGGCGGCCCGTCCGAGCACACGTGCAGTGGGTCACTCGCTGACTCGCAGGAGTGAACTGGTGAACCCTCCCATCCTGTAGGTCAGCACCACTCACCAAGCTCGTAGAGAACGAGGGGAGGTAAAGACCTGACAGGGTGCCAGAGGGGGCTGCCGGACACGGTAAGACAGTAGAAAATGAACTAGGAAAGAAGTGAGTACAAGTACTAACCCTAATTGGGTTGTACCCCCTATGGGATACCCCACTACAGCCTACACAAATGTATAAGCTATATAACGTTCTGACACACCCCCATAGGCAAAGTGGGGGAGAACAAGGTGTCACAAGACCAGTCCAGCAAAGCAAAGCAAAGCAAGCTCAGGGTGGATCTCAAAGTCACCACACAGTCTGAGCACAAGGTCAAGGCCACAAGGCCAGTTCACATGCAAGCGTACACATATATATAAATCTAGACAAGCAAGAGCAGGTATATATATATGTGACAGTACAAGCAAGGTCAAGAGGTGAGCAAGTGAGGCAAGACAGGCACAAGACCCAGCTGAGTGCAAAAACGGTGATGATCACAAGGCGCAAGTGCCTTGGTGAAGACATTAGCAGTGTTGGCCTCAGAGGCCACGTACGCAAGCCACAACTGTCCACGCTGCTGTAGCTCACGAGCAAGGAAGTAGCGAAGAGCAATGTGCTTTGTTCTGTGCTCCAGTCTCTGCTCTCGACACAAGGCCAGCATGGCCTTGTTGTCTACGTACAGGACTGGAGGAGAACGAGGCGGCTCTCCAAGGTCAGTCAGCAGGTAGGTGAGCCAGCAAAGCTCCTGTGCAGCCATGGCCCCTGCGTAGATCTCAGCCTCACAACTGGAGCCGAGAACAGAAGACGAGCGAGTAGCCCGCCACAAAACAGAGCCGGAACCAAGGCTGAAGGTGTAACCCTGTGACGACCGCTGCGTAGCCTGGTCGTCAGCCCAAGAAGCGTCCGCGTGCCCAGTGAGGACCACTGGACTCCGCCCTCCAAGCACTAGCCCCATGCCCGACGTACTGCACAAGTAGCGCAACACCCTCTTTGCTGCAGCCATGTGCTCTGGTCGGTGTCTCCCAGGAGCAACATAGCGTGCGAGAATGCTAAGAGGGTATGCAAGGTCAGGTCGAGTGCAGGTCATCAGGTACATGAGGCAGCCAACAAGCTCTGGATACGGGCCACTCGACTCTACGGACTCATCCGAAGGCAGAGCTGAGAGCGAGTGGCGAGTAGGCAGAGGAGTGGCCTGTGGCGAGGAGTACGTGAAGCCGAAGCGCTGAAGGACCTGCTACACCATGTGTGACTTAGTCAGAGTAATGGTGCGGCGTGCTCTGTCCCGGGTGATCTGCAAGCCAAGGTAGCTGCGCAGTTCACCCAGGTCTGTGCACGTGTGTCTCTTCTGCAGCTCAGACTTCACGTAGGCGAGTCCAGCAGTGTCAGTTGTGGCAAAGACCAAGTCGTCGACGTACACGAGGATGTAGAACGGCGGCAGAGAGGTGTCGGTGCGGAGAAACAGCGACGGGTCGGCAGTAAAAGGGGCAAACCCAAGAGCCGCAAGCGTAGTCATCAGTGTGTCGTGCCACTCACGTGGCGCCTGTTGGAGACCGTAGAGTGGACGCCGAAGACTCCACTTGGTGGGCGGCGCAGCCAGATCTCCTCGTGCAGGCTGCCCTGCAAGAAAGCTGTGCTGAAGTCGAGAGAGTGCAGCTCGTAGTCACGGTGAGCAGCAACGTGCAGAGTGGTCATCTTCGGGGTGGGAGAGAAGGTCTGAAAGTATTCAACTCCCTGCCGCTGACTGAAGCCACGAGCCACGTAACGCGCCTTGAAGACAGGCGGAGAACCCGACGGCCGCTTCACCCTGAAGATCCACATGCCACTGACGATGTTCGCCCCAGGAGGGGGGACAGCGTCAACGTAGGTGCCTGTGGACTTCCAGGAAGCCATCTCTGCATCCATAGCTGCCTGCCACTAAGAAGAGTAGGGACCCTCTATCGCCTCCACGTAAGAGCGCGGAGTCGGGATGTCAAGTGCATCCGGGTCTCCCTCAGGGGTAAGCAGTACGGACACGAGATGAGGTGAAGCAGCGGCCAAGCACTGGAACTCCTCCTGCCTGTCCTCAAGGACGTCCGTGCCAAGGGCACACTCACCCCCGACGGACGGAGGACAGACAGACTCAGACTCAGCGACAAGACTAGCAGCGTAGTCTAGACGACAGCAAGCAGCAAAGTCGACGAGCTCAGCAACTAGGGCAGACGCAGCAGTGGAATCGAAAGAAGGGTCAGTGACGACAGTAGCAAGGAGACGCGTGACAGTAGGACTGGCAGCACGAAGAGAGTCCGACTCCGGGTCGGCAAGCGCAGGAAGAGAGGACTCAGTAGGAGAAGGCAAAGGGGCACGCAGAGGAGCAGTGGACGGACGCAGAGACATCCTGTGCGTACCAGGGACAGGAGGAGGATGCTGACACGAACCACGACCACTAGCGCGAGCAGCACGGACAGGCGACGTAGGGCGAGACGTAGGCTCACGACGCTCAGCAAGACCTCCAGTAGGACCAGTGTAGGGAGAAGGAGCAGGCAAAGGGGAGGTAGGCAGCAACTGTAACTGTGACGGGACTAGCTGTGGACACTCTAAAGAAGGAGGAGGACCAGTAGAAGGCGGAAAACCAAGAACCTGCTGCAGGAGCGGAACGAAGTACGGTCGAGGCCGCGCGACGACGCCAGACACAGCAGGGAAAGCACCAGAACCCCCACCAGGAGCACCCGCTCCAGCAGCACCTCCAGCAGCTCCAGAACCTCCAGAAGCACCAGGAGTACCCCCAGCAGGACCGCCTGTAGTAGGCTCAGCTCCAACACCCTCAGCAGCACCAGCTCCAGTCGAACCCACAGGCCCAGCAGCTCCAGTACTCCCAGTACGAGCACCTTTGGGACCCGCGACAGCAGCACCCTCAGTAGCCGAAGAACCTCCAGCACCAGCAGCACGCCTTCAGCGACGGGCAAACCACTCGCGCAGCTCCTATGGAGAGAGTGGCTCCCGCAGAGACGAAGCACCCGGAGAACCTCCAGGCGGAGCACCTCCAAGCTCAGCACCCCCAGGCGCAGCACCCCCAGTATCAGCACCCCCAGGCTCAGCACCCTCAGGCTCAGCACCCCCAGGCTCAGCACCCCCAGGCTCAGCATACATGGCAGAAAGGATAGCATCAAAATCAAGATCATAGATGGCAACTCCCGCCCTAGACAGCTCGCCCCAGCGAGGGATCTCTGTGGCCTCCGGGAACTGGTGACGCCACGCGTCCGTCAGGCGGCCAAAGCAGCGCTGGGTGGGTTGCGCACCCCCACACTGCTCACCCGCACGGTCGCCGGTGCGCAGGACGTAGGTGCACGGACCAAAACCCCCACCCCGCTGGCATGCAGTGTACCACTCACGGAGCTGCTGAGGGGACAGGGTCTCACGACCGCACTGCTGGTGCTGGCGGGGATCACCACCGGAGCCACATCTCTGCGTAGACCCGCGACCAGGTCCACCGCCACCCCCGCCACCTCCTTCGCCTCCTCCGCCTCCGCTACTACCGCCGCCTCCGCCGCCTCCTCCACCGCCGCCACCTCCGCCACCACCGCCGCCGCCGCCTCCGCCTCCACTTCCGCCACCGGCACCTCCACTCCCACCTCCACTCCCAACGCCACCCCCACTCCCCCCGCCGCCTCCACCTCCACCGCCCCCGCTCGCTCCTCCAGTGCCCCTGCCCCCCTTGCACTTGCCAGAGCGGCGTCTCCCGCTAGGGGCAGACGCCGCACCGACCGACTCAAGACCAAGGAGGTCGGCCGCAGCAGCAGAGGCAACAGAGGGCAGAAGGGGGGAGGGGGAACACCCCTCAAAGATGGGGGTGCGCGGGTCACCACGAGAGGCTCCTACAGCGACTATGCTCTTCTCTATCGCTAGGAGGGCCTTCTCGAGGAGGTTTACAGTGAGAGTGGTGGGACAGACTGAGAGGAAGTGGTCCCTGACTACACTAAGGGAGTCAGGGAGGCGAGTGACTATGTAGTAGAGAGTGATGTACATGGGGGGGGGGGGGGGGGGGGGGTGGGGTTCTTGGCTCAGAAGTTTGCAGGAAGCGCAGCGCGATATCGAGTGTCACTAGTGCGGAGGTGCGTAATGAGGTCAGCGACTTTGGGAAAGGCAGTGAGGTCAGGGAAGAGGTACGGTAGCATGAGACGGCTCAGTGCAGTAGTGGCAGGGGAGGAGTAGCGCGCAACTACAGCATCGTACAAGGTCTGAGCACTCTTGTACTGACTAAAGTGCGCACGCTCGGAGGTAGGGAGGTGGCAACGCACAGCAAGACGTGCAGCAGCGTCGCGCGTGGCCCACTGGGAGCGAACAGTGGCGTCGGCATCAGCAGCAGGGGCAGGAGAGGCGCCACAGGTGAGGTCAAAGAGTGAGAGACCGTCTGCCCTATCGCACTGTAAGAACAGCTGCAGGTCATCTACTCAGATGTCAAAGTCAATGGCCCGACCCTCAGCGTCAAAAGCGAGGACACTAGGGGTAGCCATGACCACAGTAGACTAGCAGTGCAATAGTAGGGTGCAGTAAAAGAGGCACTGTGCTCACCGGACAGGGCTGCTCGGGTGGCTAGGAGGTAGGGCGGTTCGGCGGCTCGGCGGCTCGGCTGCACGGCGGCTCGGCTGCTGGGCGGCTCGGCGGCTCGGCTGCAGTGCGGCTCGGCGGCCTGGCGGCTCGGCTGCTGGGCGGCTCGGTTGCCGGGCGGCTTGGCTGCAGGGCAGCTCGGCTGCTCGGTTGCTGGGCGGCTCGCCGGCTCGACTGTCCGGCTGCTCGGCTGTCCGAGCGGCTCGGCGCTGGTGCTGCAGGGTGGCGCGGCTGACGGCTGCTTGGCTGGGTGAGGCGGCTCGTGCAGGTGGGTGGCGGGCGGCGCTGCAGCAGGGGACGGGGCCGCCGGTTAGGACGGCTGGGCCGGGTGTGAAGGCGGCGGAGCCGCAGGTGAGCGTGGCGGGGCCGTCGGTGAGGGCAGCGGGGCCGCAGGTGAGAGCGGCTGAGCCACAGGAGAGGGCGGCGACGGGCCGTTAGGGCGGCGACGGGCCGTACAAGCGAGGCGACGGGCCGGTAGGGCGGCAACAGGCCGGTAGGGCAGCGACGGGCTGCTGCAAGGGCGGCGACAGGCCGGTAGGGCGGCGTCAGGCCGGTAGGGCGGCGACGGGTCGGTAGGGCGGCGACGGGACGGGGTAAGGGCGGCGACGGGCCGAGGTAAGGGCGGTGACGGGCCGGGGTAATGGCGGCGACGGGCCGGTAGAGCGGCGCGATAGGCCGCTACAAGGGCGGCAACGGGCCGCTGGTAGAAGGGGGGCGGATCAGGGCCGCAAGGGTGGCAGATCGGGGCCGCGAGAGGCCGCTAGGGCGGCGCGACGCCGCCGTTAGGGCGGCGCGACTCGACCGTAAGTGCGGCGCGACGGGCCGCAGGGGCGACGCGATGGGCTGCTGGAAAGGGCGCGACTCTAGGCGCGCTTCGTGCAGGGGCAGGATGCGCCCCGGGAAGGAAAAAAAATTTGGTGGGCCCTAGGAACAGTTCCTACGAGGGAACCTGCTCGATACCATGTGAAAGTAAGAATGAGAATGAATGAACTATGAAAGAAGTGAGTACAAGTACTAACCCTAATTGGATTGTACCCCCTCTGGGATACCCCACTACAGCCTACACAAATGTATAAGCTCTATAACGTCCTGACAAAGTGGGCAAGGACAGGACCACCAGAGGGGTCTGCCAGGGAGACCACCACTGGCCGACAAAGCGGCGTGAGTGTGGTGCGGTCTCGAAAGAAGGAGCGGGAAGCACTCGAGTCAAGGGTGAAGGTGTGGGAGGCCTGAGCCGACGTGGTACCTGAGAGCGTAGACTCACCAGCACCTGAGGCAGCAGACTCACTAGTACCCAGCGTAGCAGCCTCACCAGCACCTAGAGCAGCAGCCTCAATGCCCGGGTCAAGCGGAACACACAGGTAATAGTCAACCTCATCACTAGTAGACACAGCATACATGGCAGCAAGAATAGAATCAAAGTCAAGATCAAAGATAGCTAATCCCGCCCTAGACAGCTCGCCCCAGCGAGGGATCTCTGTGGCGTCAGGGAACTGGTGACGCCAAGCGTCCGTTAGGCGGCCGAAGCAGCGCTGGGTGGAGTACAGACCCCCGCACTGCTCACCCGCACGGTCGCCGGTACGGAGGACGTAGGTGCAGGGGCCAACACCCCCACCCTGCTAACGCGCAGCGTACCTCTCACGAAGCTGCTGGGGGGGAGGGGTCTCACGAGTGCGCTGCTGCTGCTGCTGGCGCTGTCCACCACCGGGGCCACCTCTCTGCGTAGGGCTGCGACCCACTCCACTACCGCCGCCGCCACCTCCGCCTCCTCCACCTCCTCCGCCTCCTCCGCTCCCACCAGCACCGCCGCCGCCACCCCCGCCTCCACTGCTGCCACCGACGCCTCCACCCCCACCACCACTCCCACCACCACCCCCTCTCCCTCCACCGCCTCCCCCTCCACCTCCGCCACCCCCGCCAGCTCCTCCAGCGCCCTTGCCCCCCTTGCCCTTGCTGGTGCGGCGTCTCCTGCTAGGGGCAGACGCCGCTCCGACCGACTCGAAGCCAGCGAGGCCGGCTGCAGCAGCAGTGGCGACAGAGGGCAAGAGGGGGGAGGGGGAACACCCCTCAAAGACGGGGGTACGAGGGTCACCACGAGGCTCCTACAGCGACTATACTCTTCTCTGCTGCCAGGAGGCGCTCCTCGAGAAGGTCAACGGTGAGTGTGGTGGGGCAAACTGAGAGGAAGTGGTCCCTGACTAAGCGAAGGGAGTCAGGGAGCCGGGTGACTATGTAGTAGAGGGTGATGTACATGGGGGGGGGGGGGGGATCTTGGCGCAGAACTCAGCAGGAAGCGCAGCGCGGTAGGGAGAGTCACTAGTGCGAAGGTGCGTAATGAGGTCGGCGACTGTGGGAAAGGCGGCTACGTCAGGGAAATGGTACGGCAGCATGAGGCGGCTAAGAGCAGTAGTGGCAGGGGAAGAGTAGCATGCAATGACAGCGTCGTACAAGGTCAGCGACTGGGGGAAAAGTGGCGAGGTCAGGGAACAGGTACGGCAGTATGAGGCGGCTAAGGGCAGCAGTGGCAGGGGAAGAGTAGTGTGCAACTACAGCATTGTACAAGGTCTTAGCACTCTTGTACTGACTAAAGTGCGCAAGCTCAGCGGTTGGTAAGTGGCGACGCACAGCAAGACGGGCAGCAGCATCGCGTGTGGCCCACTACTCGGAAATGCTCTCACCAGTCCGGGTGGGAAGGGCCGCAACTGTGGCGGCTACGGCTCGGCGACGGCTCAGTGGCGGCTCGGCGGCTCGGCGGCTTAGTGGCGGCTCGGCGGCAGCTCGGCGGCGGCTCGGCGGCCCGGCGGCTGCTCGTCAACTCGGCTGCAGCGGCGGCTGTTCCGCGGCTCGGCGACTCGGCGGCGGCTCGGCTGCTCAGCGGCTCGGCGGCGGCTCAGCGGCTAAGTGTCGGCGGCGGCAGGGCCAGGGTTTAGCGGCAACAGGGCCGCTGGAGGGCGGCGACGGGGCCGCGAATAGCGGCGCCGCGGCCGCGAAGGGCGGCGACGCGGCCGTGAAGGGCGGCGGCTGGGCCGCGAAGGTGGCGACAAGGCCGCGAGAGGGCGGCGACAAGTCCGCGGTAGGGCAGCGACTGGGCCGCTGTAGGGCGGCGACGGGGCCGCTGGAGGTCGGCGCCGGAGCCGCTAGAGGGCGGCGACGGGGCTGCGAAGCGCGGCGACACGGCCGCGAAGGGCGGCGGGTGGGCCGCGAAGGCGGCTACGGGGCCGCGAGAGGGCGGCCGGGCCATAAGGGGCGGCGCCGAGGCCGCGAAGGGTCGGGCCGCTAGGGCCCGCTAAGGACAGCGACGGGGCCGTGAGAGAGGCCGCACAGGGCGGCGCGACAGGCCGCTAAGGGGAGGGCGGCCGACAGGGCGCGCCTCGGGCTCGGGGCAGAAAAAATAAAATTACTCGATTTTTAGTGGTGGGCCATATGAAAGTTCCCACTAGGGAACCTGTTCTATACCATGTGAAGAAATGAGGAATGAATGAACTAAGAGGAAGGTGGGTAAGTATGAAAACCTAAAAGAGTTGTACCCCATATAGTCTACCCCACTACAGCCTAGATAGACTATAGCATATAAACTTGACACGAGCTGTATCGGAGTGCAAGGCGCTTGGGATTGTGTTTGTGCGAGGTGATTTTGCAGGGAGGTGCGTTCTGCCGTAAATGCCGCAATTTCTTCAGAGATTTCGTGCAATTGTCGCAGCAGCTCGTCCAGGCAGTCCTGCGTGAAGGTGGTGACGTCGATGCGTTCGGCCATTCCGAAGGGCATCGGCTCATCTTAGTCTAGGCGTAGTAGTGGCTGCACGCGTTTACAAGAGAACGCGAGGACACCGGCTCCTAGGGGCTAAGGTGAGAAAACTGAAACGAGAATGAAAATGACTAAGGGAAAGTTGGGTACAAGTACAAACCCTAGAAATCTGTACCCCATATGTGCTACCCCACTATAGCCTACAGCAGCTATGTTATATAAATCTGACACACCCCCATAGGCAAAGTGGGGGAGAACAAGGGGTCACAAGACCAGTCAAGCAAAGCAAAGCAAGCTCAGGGTGGATCACAAAGTCACCACACATTCCGAGCACAAGTTCAAGGCCACAAGGCCAGTTCACATGCAGGAGTACATATATATAACAGGCTAGACAAGCAAGAGCAGGTGTATCTATATATGTAACAGTACAAACAAGGTCAAGGGGTGAGCAGATGAGGCAAGGCAGGCACAAGACCTTGCTGAGTACAGAAGCGCTAATGATCACAAGGCACAAGCGCCTTGGTGAAGATATCAGCAGTGTTGGCCTCAGAGGCCACGTACACAAGGCGCAGCTGACCACGCTGCTGTAGCTCACGAGCAAAGGAAGTAGCAAAGAGCAATGTGCTTCGTTCTGTGCTCGAGTGTCTGCTCCCAACACAAGGCCAGCATGGCCTTGTTGTCTACGTACAGCACTGGAGGAGAACGAGGCGGCTCTCCGAGGTCAGTCAGCAGGTAGGTGAGCCAGCGAAGCTCCTGTGCAGCCATGGCCCCTGCGTAGATCTCAGCCTCACAACTGGAGCCGAGAACAGAGGACGAGCGAGTAGCCCGCCACGAAACAAAGCCGGAACCAAGGCTGAAGGAGTAACCCTGTGACGACCGCTGCGTAGCCTGGTCGTCAGCCCAAGAAGCGTCTGCATGACCAGTGAGGACCACTGGACTCCGCCCTCCAAGCACAAGCCCCATGCCCGACGTACTGCACAAGTAGCGCAACACCCTCTTCGCTGCAGCCATGTGCTCCAGTCTGTGTCTCCCAGGAGCAACATAGCGTGCGAGAATGCTAAGAGGGTATGCAAGGTTAGGTCGTGTGCAGGTCATCAGGTACATGAGGCAGCCAACAAGCTCTGGGTACGGGCCACTCAACTCTACGGACTCATCCGAAGGCAGAGCTGAGAGCGAGTGGCGAGTAGACAGAGGAGTGGCCTGAGGCGAGGAGTACGTGAAGCCGAAGCGCTGAAGGACCTGCTGCACCATGTGTGACTGAGTCAGGGTAATGGTGCGGCGTGCTCTGTCCCGGGTGATCTGCAAGCCAAGGTAGCTGCGCAGTTCATCCAGGTCTGTGCACGTGTGTCTCTTCTACAGCTCCAACTTCACGTGGGCTAGTCCAGCAGTGTCAGCTGTGGCAAAGACCAAGTTGTCGACGTACACAAGGATGTAGAACGGCGGCAAAGAAGTGTCGGTGTGCAGAAACAGCAAAGGGTCAGTACTACAGGGAGCAAACCCAAGAGCCGCAAGTGTAGTCCTCAGTGTGTCGTGCCACTCACGCGGTGCCTGGCGGAGACCGTAGGCTGGCCGCCGGAGGCTCCACTGGGTGCCACGAGGAAAAGACACAGTGAAGCCACGTGGGCGACGCAGCCAGATCTCCTCGTGCAGGCTGCCCTGCAAGAAAGCAGTGTTGAAGTCAAGAGAGTGCAGCTCGTAGTCACCGTGAGCAGCTATGTGCAGCAGTACCAGAAGATTAGTCATCTTTGGGGTGGGAGAGAAGGTCTGAAAGTAGTCAACTCCCTGCCGCTGACTGTAGCAACGAGCCACGTAACGCGCCTTGAAGACAGGCGGAGAACCTGGCAGCCGCTTCACCCTGAAAATCCACATGCCACTGACGATGTTCGCCCTAGGCGGGGGAACCTCGTCAACGTAGATGCCTGTGGACTTCCAGGAAGCCATCTCTGCGTCCATAGCTGCCTGCCACTGAGAGGAGTAGGGACCCTCTATCGCCTCCGCGTAAGAGCGCGGAGTCGGGATGTCAAGTGCATACGGGTCTCCCTCAGGGGTAAGCAATATGGACACGAGATGAGGTGAAGCAGCAGCCAAATACTGGAACTCCTCCTGCCTGTCCTCAAGGACGTCCGAGCCAAGGGCACACTCACTCCCGACGGACGGAGGAGGGACAGACTCAGACTCAGCAAGACTAGCAGCGTAGTCTAGACGATAGCGAGCAGCAAAGTCGATGAGCTCAGCAACTAGGGCATACGCAGAAGTGGACTCAAAAGAAGGGTCAGTGACAACAGTAGTAAGGAGACGCGTGACAATAGGACTGGCAGCACGAAGAGAGTCCGACTCTGGGTCCAGAAGAGCAGGAAGAGAGGACTCAGGAGGAGAAGGCAAAGGGGCACGCAGAGGAGCAATGGATGGACGCAGAGACATCCGGTGCGTGCCAGGGACAGGAGGAGGACGCTGACGCGAACCACGACCACTAGTGCGAGCAGCACGGACAGGCGACGCAGGGCGAGACGCAGGCTCACGACGCTCAGCAAGACCTCAGTAGGACCAGTGTAGGGAGAAGGAGCAGGCAGTGGGGAGGCCGGCTGTAACTGTAACTGTGATGGGACAGGCTGTGGACACTCTAAGGGAGGAGGAGGACCAGTAGAAGGCGGGAGACCAAGAACCTGCTGAAGGAGCAGAACGAAGTACGGCCGAGGCCGCGCAGCGACTCCAGACACAGAAGGGCCAGCACCAGTACCCCCAGTGGTAGCACCAACGCCAATAGCACCTCCAGCTCCAGTACCTCCAGCAGCACCAGTAGCACCCCCTTCAGGACCGACAGCAGTAGCCTCAGCGCCAACACCCTCAGCAGCTCCAGCTCCAGTCGGACCACAAGAAGACGTAGTGGCTCCAGCTCCAGTAGTACCCGCAGGCCCAGCAGCTCCAGTACTCCCAGTACGGGCACCTCTGGGACCCACGGCACCAACACCCTCAGCAGCCGAAGAACCTCCAGCTCCAACAGCACGCCTCAAGTGCCGGCCAAACCACTCGCGCACCTCCTGTGAAGAGAGTGGCTCCCGCCGAGACGAAGCACCCAGAGAACCTCCAGGCGCAGCATCGCCAAACGCCACACGAGCAGGCCCCGCTCCCTCAGGCTCCGCACCCCCAGGCTCAGCACCTCCAGGCGTAGCACCCCCAGGCTCAGCACCCCCGGGTGCAGCACCCCCAGGCTCAACACCCCCAGGCGTAGCACCCCCAGACTCAGCACCCCCAGGCTCAGCACCCCCAGTCGTAGCACCCTCAGGCTCAGCACCCCCAGGCGTAGCACCCACACGCTCAGCACCCCAAGAGTCAGCACCCCCAGCCTCAACACCCTCAGCAGCACCAGAGTCACCAGCAACCTCCACAGGCTCAACTGCGTCTACCTGGGACACACGTGAAGGGGCAGGACCCTGAGGGGGAAGGGGGTCTATCGGGGGGGGACCTGGCACAAGGAAGAGCGGTGGCGGGGGGAGGGACGGAGTGCGGT